TTTTCCAGGCGGCAGCTGAACAATGGGTCCTCTGCGCTGCAGACCCCCTATCTGTGTAATCCCATTACAAGACAAAGCAGGACCTCATGAATAGTCAGTTTCTACTTCAGTATCACTTGACTCTCATCAGTACAATTGGAAACTATACATGCAAGGAAAATAAATGTATTAAAGTAACCAAGGCTCAGTAGTTCTGGTCAATCATCAGTACAGTTTTACCATGTGTAAGCAAGGAAGGTAAAAGTATGAAAAGTAACTAAAAGACAATGAAGAACTGAAAAGTAACTAAAGATTACAAAGTAACTAGAGTCTATAAGACTCAAATCTTACAATGTAAAGCAGAATTGTAGTTAATGGGCTAAACTATACAAAACCACTGGTTTAGTCTTTTAAACAGCTACCATGCTGTGACAGCGGACACTGTGTACATACTGGCTGAATAAAAGGCAAAATCACATTCTGTATACAAGCAGAGGGTTGAGATGGAAAATTACAGCGTTTCTAGTATGAAGTGTTACAAATAGTTTTGTGATATGAAAATTGTACATCTGTTGAGGCTATCTCACTTCCAGCAGATCGAAGGGGGAGGACTTCACAAGCTGTTATCCTTCACTATAACTGCTTGTCTTGTCCTTGACAGCGTAGTGTTAGGTACTTTCCTTAGTTAGATAGATATTGATTAGAGATCTGTTGTATTAGAAGATGTTAGTGTAGCCAGGATGTCTTCCTCAGGCTGTTAAATGCAAGGTTAGTTAAAGCAGAGAAAGGCTGCCGTCAGGGATAAATGTTATTATGACGGTAAAAGTGACCATAATATTTGTCTTAATGTGTAATGTTATGTCAAATTGTTTTAGATACACACCACGAAAACAACAGCCACACACCTTGACTTTTCCTCATGTTTTGGCTAACGTTACAGCCAGCTGCAAAGAGAGACGTCTCGTTTGACGTTTCTGTGGAGCAGGGGGCGAGCCAACTAAGTGATGATATTGTATAGCAATTCTTGGTTCGGGGTCTTGCTTCTTCCGGGCTGCTTGGGCAGCCTGGGGGTTGGAAGATCTCTGGACTTGTAATGTTAATTTTGCCTGTGACCCTTTGAATAAACCAGCACAGTTATATTTTTTATATATCCAAGTGGTCTGTGTCGTCCCTCTGAGTTCCTGGTTTGAAAGGACCGGACGTGGCTTTATGATAGAATTAAGCCTTTAGTAGGTAGAATTGCACATCTCAGTCGAAGCAACCGCTTTAAAGTGCAATGCACACAGGACATCACTGAGGTCTTTTCCTGAGTTCATCACTATCATTTTAAAAAATAAAAGGTTTCACTGTGCTGGATATCTAAGAGGCACCTTGAATCATGTACAAATATATCACAGAGCGAGTGGAAGTTGGGGGTTGAAAGCCCACTTGAATATTCCTGCAATATCACTATCTATCTCTAAATATAGAATACAAAAGATTTAACAGGATTACAGGACAATGATCTGTCAAGAAAAATCATATCCAGCAAAGCAAGTGTGCATAAAGGCATGAAGCCGGCCCCCGAGGCCCTCAGTAGATTCCAAGCATCCGCTGTCTGTGCTGATGCCCAAGAATGTTCCAGTGATAACATGAGGAATTAATTTTATGCACATTTAAGATAGCCCCCCCCCACCCTCCTTTTTATGCTTCAGCCAACATGAGTCTTCCTGTTTTCCCAGTAAGTAGATAACACCATGAAAGTCCTTCAACATTCCATGCAAGCTGTGACACAGCATACAAAAAGAGCAACATGACCAGGACAGAGAGATGTTTTTAATCTCAGTGCACAAGACTGGACTTTGATATACTGGGTTTTTCTCTGGGCAGATGCATTTGATTAATTTATGTGACTTTTAACATGTTGAAAAACCTTTGTGTTGAAACGTTGTCTGTACATTGTCTGATACATTTGCATGTGATGAAAACGGCATGGCTTGTCAGCTTTCACCCTTTAACTGGTCTTGTGTGTCGCGTCCTATGAAATGTCAATAACTGACTTAATGAATGTTCTATGGGCATGTTAACACTCAAAGCACTTCTCACAATAAAAAAACATTTAGAAAAGCTATGTATTTGGGAAACAAAGTAAAATGTGATGTTTAAATCTTAATGTTGCAATAAAACTGACAAGTTGATCAGAAAACATAAATACTTCCTTTATTGGTTAAGAGATTTTACAACACAACAGTGCTTCAGTACTTTCTGCGGGTATGCATAATGTTTTTGATAATAAATCCATGACATTTTGTATTAATTTGTCAATTATGCATTCAAATGGCAGGTTTTGGCAGTGTTAGAAGTACTCAGATTGTTTACTTAGCCAAAAGTAGCATTACCACAGTGTAAAAATACTCAGTTACAAGTAAAAGTATTAGCATAAAAATATATTTAGAGTACCAAAAATAAAAGTACTCATTATGCAGAATGGCACAGTTTACATTAACCTATATCATTATTGGGCTATAATTATTAATGTATTATTGTGTACATCACATTTAATGTTGCTGCTGGTAAGGGTGGAGCTAGTGTTATACCTTATATGCTTATAATTTTAAGTACTTCACATACTGCTGGGTAGCTTGTGAATTTTACACCAATGATCAATAGTCTTATGATTATACCGTGTTTTATTAATCTCATTCAGTAAAGTAACCAGTAGCTAAAGTTATCAAATAAATGTAGTGAAAACAAAGTACAATGTTTTTCTCTGAAATGTAGTGAGGTCAAGGTACGAAGTAACAGAAAATGAAAGTACTCAAGTAATGTACAGATACCTCAAAATTGTAAATAAGTACAGTACTTGAGTAAGTGTACCTAGTTACTTTCCACCTCTGGTCCTTTGCAAAGCCAATCCATCAGTTTAAATCTACAGGGTTCACATTTAACAAAAGTTTAATACACCCTAAAATGTGAAAACTACACAAATCACAATAGCTCTCTAAAATTTTAGTGATTTCTGCAACACTATTCTTTGCTTCAGTGCATCAGGGATAACTGACTATGTTTTAATGTTTTACATATTTATCTAAATAAACTGAAAATCCTTATAAAATAAATTGACATCCTTTAGCTTTATTAACAGTTCTGCACTGAATCTGCGTAGAGTCGACGCCGTAGGCCGCTACGCCGTTGTGAGCATGTATAGGCCGACTTGTACCTGGTGTGTGTGTTGCCCTGAAATTACACCACCAAAACATTAGTTTGCGGTGGGGTTTCTTTGCCACTTACTCACAATGGTGACTGAAACTGAGCTAGTCATGCTCGAGTTAAAACTAACAGATGCTGAACAGCAGTTATTTTTACTGAAATTAGGGCAACACAGATAAGAGGGAAGAGGTCGATGGTCTGTACGACCATTGAACCACCTGAGGCAGAACGAGGGGGACGAGTGTGGCGCGACATGCAGTTTCATTTCTGTAGAGGTGCACATTAGGCTAGGTACGCAGAGCCATAAATCAAGCTTAATACTTTTGTCCATTAATTATGATATCATGGTAGTACAGCGACATGATCAAAATAATAGTAGTAAAGAGTGAAATTAAGAAAACAACAAAAATGTATGACAGGTTTCAACAGTGGTATTAACAGGATGAGGACAGCTGCGGAAAGGTCAACACAGAAGTCGGGTGACTGTGAGAAGGGCTGCGATGCTAGAGAGGACGGGGTGTAAACCAGCAGAACTGGCCCGTGACGAACAGTGTTCCCTGTTCTGGCCAATACAGGCTGCATATGCCATTACATGAGGGATATAGTGCTGCTCATGGACCCCATGAAACAGGTGAGCCAGGGGACCTTTGGCAAACACAGCCACATCCTCACCTCCATGAGTCTCAGAGGACAGAGGTACAGCTGCCTGGGCCAGGTAGTTGTTTTCCTCTGAAAGGAAGTGATGCAGAGAGACGTTGTAATGTCAGTGATGATAATGGTAACCACTTCTTATTGGCCAAGTATGTTACACAGACAAGGACTTTGTCTCCGGTACAGAACTGAGGCAGCCAACTCTCATACACACACACACACACACACACACACACACCGATGGCGGCTCTGCTCTGGCCATCAGGAGCATCTTGGGGTTCATTGTCAGCATATATTACTGATAACGTAGTCCAACCTGGTGACTAAACGATATTACTTACTGTAGTCAATAGTAGAGACGTTCTCCCTCACACCGTTGACAATTTTGTAACCTGGTCCGTTCCCATATAAGATGGCGGTGTAGGGCTTCTGATCAATATCACTCAAAAAAGGTGACAGACCTGTGGTTGAAGGCAGAGCATTAGGTGTTATTATCACACCAGATGGAAAGTTTCAGTTACAGCACTACAAGTTAAATGATACAACAAAAATATACAGTAGTATTTAATACTAGATGTGCATGATCATTACCTACCAAAAATTGGGTTTCCTCTGGGTGTGTAGCCTCCGAAGCTGAACGTGTGAGAGTGGTCAGCAGTAACTACAGTCAGTGTATCATGGATACTGGTCAGGAGATCTGCACGACTGACTGCCCGGTCCAATTCCACAGCCTCATGCAGAGCTTGCTTAGCCTTACCCTCATGGTGTCCATGGTCAATACGTCCTCCTAAATGAGGGGAAATATATTAGATAGCAATTAGACCTTTTCATTTGAAGCTGTTTGGCTAAAAGGGACACAGTGCAATAACAAAACATACTTGTAAACAGTTTTTCTTCAAAGGCATTAATGGCGCTGTGCTCAATTGAATACATGAAAACTACAGAAGAAGTGTGAAGAATGGAAAAAGCTTGAGAGCACTGTGTTTGAAACATACTGACTCTCGGTCAGTCTGGTTGAACAATTGCATGTGTTTGCAAAAACACCCGCCCTTTTTATTCTGCCTGGTGTGCAAAAGTGTGAAAGCCGTCACTTTCAAGTTCTCTTTTTCATTTTTCACACAACTACACCTATCACTTTTTTATTTGTGCACCATGAATGCCTTTGAGAGACTATCTGAAAGCGTGTGCAGTTCTACCCATTTGTAAGAGTCATTTACATCAAGACTACAGACAAATCTGGAAAGGAGTGTGAAGCGCACTGGACTAACTCAGTAGACCAGTCTGACAGACCTTGATGAAATTGGCAAGCAAAACATGACTGTAAAATTTCACCATGACAGACTAACCTTCTACAAGCAGGTAAAATCCACTGGGGTTCTTCCTCAGGATCTTGATGGCCACCTCCACCATCTCTGTCAGCGAAGGATCAGTCTCTGTGTTCCTCTCCAAATCATATGTCATATCTAAAGGTTCAAAGAGACCTGGTGCAACAAAAGACACGGCTCAAGGAGGTATAGATCATTACATGGGCAAAATAAGCTGAGAGAATACACTTACTGCCCTTCATTCACACTTGAATTAGATGAAACCAGAAACTCACCCAGTAAGTAGTCCACTTTGTCAGGGTTCAGCGATAAGAGCTGCTTTTTATTCCATACGTAATGGCCTTTCTGCACAGTAAAAAAAAAGACATAAATAAACCCCTAAATATGTAAATGTTATTGGCAAGATAAAATGGGAAGCAGAGAAGTGAGAGGAGCAGAGGGAAGAAGATGAGAAATTTACTTTGTCTTTCATTCTGTCAGTCCACTCCTGCACCAGGTTTCTCCCGTCATTCCGTGTGCCGTTGTGCTTTCCAATTTTGGGGTACTCTACATCCGATGTGTTTTTGGGAAACATAAATTTCCTTCCTCCACCCATAATCACCTGAAAAGCCACAGAATAGAAAAGAACATCACAATCTGAATCCCAACCACTTTAATAGAAAGCAGTGTTACAAAAAAAGACGAGAACAAATAGAACTTTGTTGCCATACTAGTTATAAAATCTGGATAATGCAGTGTTCATACAAAAGCAGGTTAACAAGCAGGCATTCAATAAAGTGTTTGTTACCTATTTGTGAAGCTGCAAATTACTTCCTTAATTAATATTTCTTTAATAATCGTTTGTTTGGGAGACAATTCGCTGTAAACAGCAAATGTGAGCTTGACTCTCCTTTGACCATGAATCTCTACACTAAATTTCCTGGCAAGTTCTCCACTCACATCAATGTTGGGAATGTTTTCGAAGAGTTGTCTGGCGATATCCTTGCAGCCGTCCTGCAGTGCTTCAGCTGGCATCTCATTGTCAGAGTACCAGTCTCTGTTCACAGAATGGGCGTAAGCAGCACTGGGAGTGGCATGGTTCACACGCGTCGTAGTCACTATTCCCACAGACTTGCCTGTGATGTACATGCACAGACAGCTGTTTGAATTAAGACTAAGTGGGAGGATAATAAGACAAAGAGGGAATTTTCCAGTATAATGACTTTTAGATAATACACACCCTCATATTAGCTTTGGACCTGGAATCATCAATCAATCATTAGTCTTACTCTTTATTGCCAAGTATATTAAGATACAAGGAATATGATTCCAGTTCATTGGTCCCCAGTGTACACCAAAAAAATAGAATAAAAACATAGTAAAAGACAGAATAACAAGTAAAAAATGTAAAAAATCTCGGAGCCAATCCTGGCCGAATCGGGCGAAGGCGGGGTGCACCCTGGAGAGGTCGCCAATCCATCGCAGTCTTGTTATACATATAAATGAATTAATTGTTCATCAGAGCGACGGCCCGGGACAAGAAACCGTTAGGAGTTCAACAAGTTTGTGACCAGGGTATGTTGGCTTCAAGCATACGTCAGGTTTACTTTGCCTCTGTGAAGTGTTGAGGGGCACAGGTCTTCTCTGCCCTTCTCTTGATCCGTGAGGTGTACAGGTCCTCCATGGAGAGCAGGCTGGCACGGATGATCTTTTCTGCAGTCCTGGCTGTTCCTTGGAGTCTGTTCCTGTCCTGTTTGGTTGCTGAGCCAAACCAGACAGTGATTGATGAGCAGAGAACAGACTCAGCAATTCCTTTGTAGAACTGTTTCAGCAGCTGTTATGCATATTGTTGCATGGAACGAGGACACTTTGGATTTTTTAAATTTGGTCAGATTACAGCTACCAGTACCTCCTTTAAGGGAGTTATGGCTACATTAAGGAGAAAAAGTCAGAACCTAACATTTCAATTACGTAGAAGCAACTGTAAATCATGTGAAAAACATCTAATGTAAAATAGATCTATAATATTTTTATTGTACATTGCAAGTTTGTTGTTAAGTCAAGGTCCATCCTAGAGGATGGATTGGGCCACATATTCCTGTCCGAACCCAACCCGTGCCCAAGGGTGTGGCACCTGAACCCGACCCACATGTGGCAAGCTTATAGCATATAATGTCTGAGTTGTACGGTGTCTTTCTTTCATGGTTGAAATACAGGTATTTCCCCCATTGCGGGATTCATTATGGGAGTAATATTCTTGTCCTTGACTTCTTGATCTCTCTCGAATACTATATTCTGTCTTGTTCTTAGGTATTTTTGATCTGTTCTCAGGGATTAATTGTGGGAGGATCATTCTTCTTCTTGATTATCTCTCAAATACTATATTCGGTCTGGTTTTTGGTACTTTGGAATTTGTTTCTCAAGATATGTGTGTGGTGTCTGTTCCTACGGTGTTTTGTTGCTGCTCTCTATTGCTGCTGGAACACAGGAATTTCCCCATTGTGGGATCAATAAAGTCCTACCTACCTACTTTTCCCCTTATCGTTAAATGAAGCAGACATCTGAGTGATCCAGCAAGTGTAGCCTAAAGTTTGACCTACTTGTGTGAAACTGACCCAAATCCAAACATAATTTCTGAATTTCTGTCCAGATACTAGTGGGTCCTGTCAGACTCAGTTCAGGTGTCCACACCCTAGTCCGTCCCCGCCAGAAAATGTTGATATTACTCAGCCTTAGAAAACAGCCGTTTTAAGGGTAAAGTCCACCAATGAGTAGCGCAGAGTTTTACATAAATGCTTTTTCTCTAATAAATAGTCTTGGTGTAAAAATTAAAACAAGGTAGAGCCAGCAGAAAACAGTCATGTAAAATGACCTGATGAAAAAACACTTGTCCGTTTGTATTTGCTTTGTGCAGGAGGTCAGTTGCTACCTGCCATATTCCCAGAGGAATGATTAGATTTCTCATTATCTGATTCCCTGACCCCACACACATGCTCACACACACCTACCCTGTCCCTATCGCCGCCCTCTGAAAATCCAGGGTACTCATTCCTTTCACATCTCTATTTTCTTTTCTGTGGTGCTTTTTATTTTTGCACGTGTTCAAGCAGATTGCCTAACACGTTTATGTATCCTTGGAGCATAAACAAACATTCTTCAAGAGAATCAAATGTAATGACTCAAAGCTGGTCAGATTCCACGCTTTTGGTCAAAACTGTATGAGACTCTTTGTTGTGGTCGAGCTATGTGAATACAGCATGGAAGCCAAACATGAACACTACAAACCCCTTGAAATCAGAACACAGGCACGTCAGGGTTTCGCAATTTAAAAAAACATTTTTTAATGAGAATTGAGAGCATCTTGACCAGCTGCATCACTGTCTGTCTGGTACAGCAGCACTACTGCTATGGACCGCAAGCACCTGCAGAGAGTGGTAAGGACTGTGGAGAAGATCACCAGGACTCCACTGCCCTCTCTGCAGAGCATTTACCACCGCAGGGTGCATAGGAAAGCTGCCTCCATCCTCAAGGACCCCACCCAGCCCCAGCACGGACTGTTCACGCCCCCACCCTCCTGCCGGATGTTCAGAAGTGTGAAATGCAGGACCTCTAGACTGAAAAACTCTTTCTTTCCCTCTGCCATCAAACTCCTAAACAGCTGACAGGAGTTTATTACCAGTTGATACGTCATGTACTGTCGACCTGTACTGTTTACATTCTCAGTCTGCACATGTGTAATTGCACAGACTGTTGACTGCTGCACATGCAGCTTCCATGTAGCATACATTCTCTTATTATATTCTTATTATATTTCTGCATTTGCTGCTTAAAGTGCCTTAGATTTTGTGTTACTTATTTATCTACTTTATATTTCATTTGTATTTTGTGGCATTCATGTGGACGGCAAAGTAAGAATTTCATTGTACAGGGAAACACGTTTCCTAACTGTGCATATGACAAATAAACACTTTGACCTTGACCTTTGAAAAAATACATCAAAAATGACTATTTGGGTCAAGTTAATGTCACTTACACACTGCTCTAAAGCTAAATATGGTTCGAAGGAGTAAAAAATATTAAGTGCATCACTTTCTAAAAAACTTCCAAGTCAGTACTTTGATCAAGTTGTCTGCCGAGTATTCCCACCTCATATATTAACACACCATTATCTACAGGTTCCCTCGAGCATGAAATGTGTAATATAATTTACAAACAACTGGAAAATGTAAATTCTGAAACCTGCCAACAAAGAAAAGTCCAAGTTAAGTTATGTCTGTTTAATGTAACTCTACCTGTGTCCTTAGCCCATCTGAGGATGGAGGTGACCTCATTGCCTTTTGTAGTGTTACACTGGAATCGGACAGCAGCTGCGCTCACGCCCACTGTGCCCTCATTGGCCTTGACACCGCACAGGAATGCTGTGGCAGTGCCAGCACTGTCTGCCACTTGTGCATTAGTGTTGTATGTCTGCAGAGACACAGGCCGTTAACATGTGGTCAGAATCCATATATCACATGAGACTGTTTAGTCATCTTGATAATGCTTCTAATGGGGAGTTTGTGTGATGTGGTTGGTTTGGACATGTCACCAACTGATTGGATGTTGTCCTCCTACAATAACAAGAAGTCTGAAATATTTTAGGGAGTTCAATGATAAAGTTGCTGTTTTATTTATTGTCAACAAAACCTTTGAAGCAAGCAAAACCACCACTCTTTTGTCTATCTCTCAATATGCTTTATCTTTATAAAAGGCTTAGTGAAATAGCTGGGCGCTGTAGGTTTTGTAAACACTACTCAGACAGGAGGAAATAGCACGTTTATTGGAGACTATTTCCAGCCATGGACTAATACACATTTGGACCATTCCTTAAATCCAGCTTCTCAAATATTTGCATTTCCTGCTTTGTTTTGCATCACTGTAAATAAAATATCTTTATGCTTTAGACTGTTGGTCAGAGAAAACAGGCAGTTTTTACAGATCATCTTGTGCTATGGGAACTGATGGTGTGCATTTTTACAGTTATCTGTCATTTTGTGGAATAAATAATTAACAATGAAATAACCAATAGATTAATCAGTAATGAAAATGATTGTTACGTATTACAGCAGGACAGATGTTTTGGCTGTAGCTTAAGTTAATGTGTGTTTCTGTTTGTTTACACTACGTAGCAAGGTATTTTCATGGCTTGCTGGCTGATGTGTGCACAGATCTCTACACATTGGCAAAACTGACTTCACATGATTTATATCAGTTGATGTTCAGCCTCCAGTTTTTGTTTCTGTTTTTTTTATGCACAATTTTATGGATGGCTTAGACAACAGGTTGTTTTATTACAGGAAAATTCAGGTATATGTCAACCTGGTGTATGTTCCATAGATCAAATCAAATCAAATCAAATTTTATTTGTATAGCGCCAAATCACAACAAAAGTCATCTCAGGACACTTTACAAAGTAAGGTCTAGACCTTACTGTTATCAATATTATTACATAGGGAAAACCCAACAAACCCCCCTTGAGCAAGCACTTGGCGACAGTGGGGAGGAAAAACTCCCTTTAACGGAAGAAACCTCCGACAGACCCCGGCTCTTGGTGGGCGGCCTTCTGCCTCGACCGGTTGGGGTGAGTGGATAGAGGAGAGACAAAAGAAGAAAAGCAACAAGACACAACAATCAAACACTGATCAGGTCGATGTGGCCGGTGACTGCTCGTCAGAGACATAGAGCTCCAGGGCCAGGGCAACCTGCAGAAAGGTACAGGGAGAGAGAGAGAGGACACACTACGGGAAGAGCAGGAGGGGAGGGGAAAGAAACTCAGAGCATCATGGGGCCCCCAGCAGCCTAGGCCTATAGCAGCATAACTAAGGGAGGGCTCAGGGTCACCTGATCCAGCCCTAAGTATAAGCTTTATCAAAAAGGAACGTCTTAAGTCTAATCTTAAAGGTAGAGAGGGTGTCCGCCTCCTGAACTGAGACTGGGAGTTGGTTCCATAGGAGAGGAGCTTGATAGTTAAAGGCTCTGCCTCCCATTCTGCTTCTGTGGACTCTAGGAACCACAAGTAAACCTGCACTCTGAGAGTGAAGTGCTCTGTTAGGATGATAAGGCTCTACGAGGTCTTTATGATACAATGGAGCCTTGTTATTAAGGGCTTTGTATGTTAGGAGAAGGATTTTAAATTCTATTCTGACTTTTACAGGGAGCCAGTGGAGAGAAGCTAATATGGGAGAGATATGATCTCTCTTGCTAGTTCCTGTCAGTACTCTGGCTGCAGCATTTTGGATTAACTGGAGGCTTTTTAGGGAACTATTGGGACATCCTGATAGTAAAGAGTTACAGTAGTCCAGCCTGGAAGTAACAAATGCATGGGCCAGTTTTTCAGCATCACTTTGAGACAGGATGCTCCTGATTTTTGCAATATTGCGCAGGTGAAAGATCCAGGTCAATTTAGTACAACTCAGTGTCATAATCGCCATATTTATAGGAAATACACCAGGTTGAAATACATCAAAATTTCCTTTAACTAGGGTTATTTCAGTCCTTTAACACCTGTTCCATATGGAGTTCAGGTTTATACAGCAGCATCGTTTTTATAGTGTCTGACTTTTTCATTTTAAGAAAACCCCATTTCCTCTGTATAATCCAAATAGATTCTGTTTGTCATGAGGATTATTACAGCACGCTCTCAGTTTATGTACTGTTAAGTGGTCTGACTGCTTTTCTCATTGTGTTCCACATAGAGGCATTACTTTGCTCTTGTCATCCTACCCTGATATGAATTTAAATGATATTTTTTTAAAAGTGATAAGGAAATATTTATGTCAGATTGAAAGATTGAGGTCTATGATGCACAAAAATAACTGGATCAGGTTCTGGCTACAAAGACAATATTTGTTTCTGGATAAAGTAATTGCTGGTTTTGGTTTGGAATATTTTTGTGAGAAAGGAAAATACAGATTATTGCCACATGCATCCTTTAGCTGATACATATAACATGGTAATTGCCAGTGTTTTGCAGGCTGGGGTATAAATAATCAAACTATTCTATGATTTCTGGACATTTATTTTATCAAATCTGTAACATACAGACTGTGATGTGGCACAGTGACCTTGTTGAGGGTTACAGGTTTTGTAAGGAAGCCATAATGGTTACAGCAATACATTGTCCTGTATAGTATGATAAAATAAACAACTCAAACCTTGGCCAAAGATACAAAAGGGAACTTGTCCATCTCCAGCTGCGTCTCTTCTCCCATCTGTCCGTTCAGCTGACCCTTCAGTATTCGAGCAGCCGTCACTGTGGGGATGCCCATTCCTAAAGACAAAAAGCAGGTTGAATACTAGGACTGTGTTCCTCTTCACTCAGCGCAGGAAAGAACTGACTGCACATGAGAAAACTGCCATGTTTAATTCACTGCTGTGCTCAGTTTGCAACATAAGAAAGAGTTTTGTTTTCTTTGACATTGTAGAGTAAGACAACCGCTGTAAAGTAAAACATTTTCTTAGATACAAATTGCTTCAAAAACCCATAGAAAAAGGAGAAAAAAGACAAAGGATTAAATGCATACGCTTTAGGTCACATGAGGACCAATGCAGTGTCTTTTCTACACTAAATACCTGACTGTCATCTTACCAAAACTTGTATCGTACACTGGAAGTACAACAAATTGTCAAAAAATACTTTTTAGTTTAATCACTGTCAGGTCTGTTAGGTCTGCAGAAGACCTGAGGCTAAGAGGCACACGGTGTTTATTTTGTACCTTACTCTCATTACTTTTACAGAATTTATGTGAGTTTCCTGGTATAAATTTGACAATGTCTGGAAAAGATTATCCAGTTGGACAATCATTCCTTTTTGTGAGATGCTGTTATGTTCAAACTACGATAACATTCTGAGAGGCACAAGACTGATATATCGTGTCTGTACTGTAGTTCAAACAGCAGGAGCAGAGGCCCGATGGAGGAATAAAGTTAATGTGCAACCAATGAGTGAACCAGCCCAGCTCACTGATTTGGAGGCAACACAGCTGCTTTGTTTGCTACCATTCCTTCACTTCGCATGTTAGCAAACATTTGAACAATCTTGTTTATTTCCCGTTGGATTACTAGATCACCTCTAACATCATTTCAGTTTAAATAAAACTATTGGCTTGGCTGGGTTGTTCATAATTAATTCTATGCTGTCAAATTGTCTGCACTGACAGTTTTGAGTGTTTAGGGATGAGGTTAATGGAAATAATTCCCTAAGCAGCAAGGTTCCCTTCCATCTTTAAATGGTTTTACACAATCTGAGGGATATTTTCATCATTTCTTGCCATAAATCAAGATGTAAAAATCATGGTGTTACCATCTCCAAGGAAGAGGATCAGATTCTTTGCTTTGTTATTGAGCGGTTGCAGCTTCAGAGCGTTCTTCAGCGTCTCCTGGGCCCATTCATTCCAAAACTTAGGATCCTTCTCTTGCTCTGTAAGGCAATAAACATCAAATACAGGTTTGTCTGGAGAAATGTGAAGTATAGTAAAGTTGGATCAGAGAGAATTGCTTCACACAGAGACATATTGTATTATTGACTGTGTTGTTTTTGAGAGCTGTTGGCCACTGTAACCCCAACACATGCTACAACTGAACTCAAACAAGTAGTTGATTCATTTGCTAGTTGAAAATAAACTGGTTACAGTTTTGAAGACCCTTTAGTGGCTTAGTTGATTTCTTTTAACAAAAAAGTGCAAAAAATTATGTCGTTCCAACTTCACAAATTTCAACATTTGCTGGTTTCCTTAGGGTTCTAGGACAGAGAACTGAATCTCTTTGTGTTTCTGACATTTGTTCAGACAAAACTAGACATCATTTTAGCTTCTGGGGAAGTGTGATGGATATGTTTCAGTTTTCTGATCATTTAGAGACCAAATTATGCATAATTCATTTTTTTTTTAAATCTGTTCATTCATCAAGAAAATTGTCGTTACTTGCAGCCCTAACTGGTGCCTTCTACAGGGCGGCAGGAGGGTCATCTTTGAAAAAAATGTATGCAATAAATAAACAATATTTGATTTGCTATTTTCTGTAAAGAAAAACAGGAATTCTAGTTGGATAAATAAACATTCTTGAAAACATCTAAATATTCTCCTACAACCTTGAAAACCTCCAGTGTGTGCTAAATATCTCCTGACAACTTTGTGTGTGTGCATGTGTGTATGGCAAATGACTAACAACACAGTAACTTACCAGGGAACAGTGGCTTCCCCAGGCTGCCTAAGATCATACACAAGCAAAGGCTGAGTAGGGCTGTGACCTTCATGTTGTCGTCTCCGTGTGGCTGGGGTGTTACTCTAGACTAGACAGCCGTAACATGTCACTTTGAGAAGCTAAGGAATCCTGTCTGCAGCCACCTCACTGCTAAGGGAGAAAAGGGACACACACTGGTATTTAAGTCTGTGTCATCTTGTCACACATTGGCATACCGGTAATTTACTCTGTGACGCTACGGGTTAATAACAGACTTCTTGCTCATGCTGTAATGCTGCAATACCCACTTTTTATAAGTCACCAATATAACCAGAGGCTTGTCTTATTGAGACAACCCCACTGGGATATTAGTTCTTTACTTAGTGTGACCTTAACTGAAACTGTGGTAAGAAGTGGTAATATTACTCATTCCCTTCTCTCACATGTGCGTGAGGAAGCACAAAGCAACAGAAAAGGACAGCCTACCATCTGTTTCCATTTCATCAGAACTGTGTTTCCTTGTTGTTCTCTCAGTCCGCCATCAGGCTTCACAGCAGAAACAAAAGGAAAGCTTGGTAAAGTTAAGCTTGAGGCTAAGCTGTGAATATAAGTGGTCACGACAGGGGCCCTTATGGATCCTGGCCAGTTAGCTTTCATCTGTAATTATCCACACCCTCCTCCTTTCTTCACCGGGGTTTACAGTCAAGGTCATTTTAATGGGATTGAGCTCCATAGCACTGAAAGGTTTAAGGACCATAACAAAGCCGATTAATGCTGAATGACTGAATAAACACTGTTGCACCTGAGAAAAAAAATCAAGATGCTAATACTTAAAAAAATAAAATAAAATCAAGTCTTTCACCTTTAAGGTGCTAACAGGAGACTTTTGATACTTTTTGTGGACTGTGGGCAGGGTTGCATATAAATATGCATGATATCATATCCTCCAACACAAGTCCAGCTTTACATAATCAAATTTCTAATTTATTTGTGTTTCCCATCAAGTCCTGGTGTGTTGTCATCTACAATCCATGTCCCATACCTTTGAAGCACATCCCTCTATATAATGAAATTCCAAACATCTTGCAGTTATTAACCTTGGAAACTATGTCAGGCCTAATCTAGTTGTTCTAGTTTAATAAAAGACAGACAATGCTGAATCAAGCAGGTTACATAAAAGCATCGTGCACCAACCAGTCACATCTCAATGGGTATAATAAGGTAATTGATACAAGGTGACATGCCAGAACACAGTTCTTTTTACCATTCCTCATGAGTCAAATCCTGCCAGGGCCACCTGGAGGCAGGGAACCAGCCAGTCTGCAGGTAAAAAAACAGAGGAGCGCCACCACAAGCACCAGCAGGACCCCAGACAGAGCAGTAGTCAGTATCACATGAAATCCACCTTCAGTCATGGTGCCACCAAGCATTCAGCTGCTCCGCTATATCCAAAACTCAACTTCATCTATCTCAGCCTGAAGCAAGTGCACAGGCACTTAAATGTGTCACTCCAGGAGGTGGCAGCTCCAAAACAGATTAGGCTTTTAAGTAAGCTCATACATGGAAGACTGACAAATATAGGCTGGTCTCTAAAAGACTGTACCCCCCACCCAATCAAAACTTTACTGCTTCACCTCTGGAGATACAAATGGCTGCTTTGTGTGGTTTTCAGATGAACGAGATTGCTCTGTCTTCTCTGCCTCTGCTAACTCTCACTCTGAAGGAACCTCAGCGTTGCTTCTCACGCCATGCTGCGTCTGCCAATTTCTTGCATGCACACAGAATAACTAACATTTCACAGTGATGGGGACAACGTACTCATTTTCCCTCTATTTAAATAAAGATCATTGTTAAGTGTCAGGTTTGCTCAGCCGCTCTGGCCTCCCTCACCTTTCCTACTGTCTCTTGCCCATTAACACTAATCACGTTCACCTGTTCCTCACTCCCTTATCACCAGCTGCACTTGATTAGGTTGCTCACTATATTACCCGGTTTCACTCCTCAGTCCTTTGCCAGTTCTTTCTAGTCTCTAGGCCATTTTTTTCTCCGTGCTGTCTCGTGGTTTTTTTTTTTTGGTATTTATCCCCTAGCCAGCTACTGTTTTGTGTTCTCCCCATGGACTGTTCCTCCGGACCGTGGCTCCACTCTCCCCTCCCAGGCAGGTCAATGCTCAGTCGCCTATCTGTTCCACTATTGCCTTCATCTCTCTGTCTCCACCTTCAATAGCCACCATCCCCACCGACCAGCCCAGGAGTGACCCAGCCTACGCAGCTCGGCCCAGCTCTCAATCTCCTTGCCTCCTGCTGTTGGTCAAACACCCGGCTACTACTCATCGACAGGACTACGCACTATTTCCCTCTGTGCATTTTGTTATTTCTCCTCATCACTGTACATAATAAATCACTGCTTGCATCGAAGTCAGCTACCTGGGTCCGCCTCTTTCTCGTTCGCACACTAACTGGTGCGAACGGCACATAACAGAACGAACTGGCCAACATGGATCCTGCCGGCTCCGGTGCAAGCGGCTGGTCACCTCAGTCATCTCAGGACGCACTCATGGACCAGATTGCTCAGGCACTGCAGCAACAGCACAAGGACATCGCAGCACTAACTCAGCAGGTAGCACAACTCTCTGCCATTCTATCACCTCCACACGTTTCCTCTGCTACATTTTCACAGGCTCCGCC